ACCTCTAAGTCTTACTAAGACTCTATTTTTAGGAATTTCCTTAAAAAAAGATTTTAATAACTTATAAATATTTCTAAATTCTAATAAATAATTAAATAGTTAAAAAGACTCTTTAATCTTAATATTTGTATAATTGAATGACTTAAAACTATGATTTCAATCAATCCATGAATTAAGATGCATTGATGAGACTCACATATGGCAACTATCTATGACTACTTATAAGAATAGAGAGAATCCAATTCTTACCTTTAATACAGTCTATAAAAAAATAAAAATAAAATATATATATATATAATGAAAAATAAAATTTTATAAAATAGATACTATAATCTAATAAAAAATAGAATTTAAAAAAAAAACATTACTAAGACATTGACGTAGGAACAAAAAAAAACAACTATTTGGTTTAGACTTGACATATTTAGATATGTAGCAACTTCTTGCTTAGTCACTAACTTAATATTTGATAGCACCTATGTTTCTATTGAGATTTGAATTAAAGACTATATGATTGTAAATTCATAATAACAAAATTAAATTCTATAAACCATAGAAAAGATAGCCATAACTCAAGGAAAAATATTTAATCATGCTTGTAGCCTTTTTCTTAAGCTTAGCATCACAATATATTAAGAATATAAATAATTTATAGGTTTTATTTAAAATTACTAAAAAAAAATTATAATATAAATTAATATTAGAATCAATATTTATATCCTAGATTTTTTACAATGACTTCCATTAGTTCATATAAGGAAGTCTTCTCCACCTAATGTTTTAAGTTGAATTGAATTATTATCAAAGACTTCTCTGATAATATAAAGTTTAGTCCAAAGTACATCAAATTTGGCTAGAAATTCTAATTTCTTAGCATCTTGAACCATTATCTACATCCTTGAAGAAAGAATATGTTTTTTTATCTTATTACCAAAGATCTCTTTCTTTCTTCTTTGAGTAATTTCTATATATTGAGTTTCAAATCTTTGAATTTCACTAAGGCTTTTTAAATTCTTTAATTGTTCTTTCAAAGATTGAGAAGTATCCAATCTTTTATCAATAGCAATATATAAAGATGAAGCTTCAAAAAATATGGATTTTTAGCACCTTTCTAATCATTGGAAAAATTTTCAATGATTAAGCAAATATGATTTTAGCCTTTAATTTGCTAAAATCATTCCATAAGTTATATTTTCTTATGTTTTATTCTTCCACATCTTTGTATTATTAAAAAATTTCAAACATGGAAATTTTGGAATCTTTTCAACTATGGTTATCCAAATTAATACTTAGCTTATATTAAATCCTAAGATTTTGAAATGATAGTTCTTCTATCAATGAATAAAACCTTATCAATTTGGAAATGTTATTTTGAATTGCTTAATTGTGTTCCTTGTGACTTATTCTAAATCTAAGAAGTAAGGTAGACTATTTGAGGTATTAGTTTCTTTTTTCTTCATGGATAGGTAAAAATGTAGCTCTAGATCTAATAATCAATGTAAAATCTTGTATTACAAGTAAGTTTTTTTTTTTTTTCTTTGATTGATTTTTTTTAAAAGTTATTTAATTCAATTTTGAGAGGAAGGCTTAATTGATACTAAGTTGTGAAGAATTTTCAATCTCTTCCAACTTTCTTATAAACTAAAATATAAATCTCACATCTTGAGACCTTTGACTATATCTTGATTGGTTATAAGGATTTTGACCTTAAAATTGATCTTAATTAGGATTTAGTAGAATATATCCAAAATTAGATTGAAGCCCACTAGATGCACTCTAGTTCTGTCTATTATTTTTATAGTCATAGTAGAAATTTGAAGGCCTCAGATTTTTATCTGTTGGAGGTTGTCTCATTCCCATGTAATTGTTAAGTGATTGTTAAATATAATTATTAGATAGAGGTTTTAAGAAAACTATTCTATCTGATTTTCTACAAAATTCCATAGGATGCTTATTACTACAATTTCTACACTTCACTTGGTTTTCAATCCAACATTAATCAAATGGATTCATTTTTTCACAAAATATATAAAAATCTACTTATTGACTTTTTTGATACCAAAGATCTTAGTTCTTAGAATTAAATCCTTATTTTTCCAAATTATATTTTTGAAATGATTGACTTTTATATAGAAGTATATAAAATTAGAAATATTGGTTTTGTATGGACATAGGATTGTAAAGTTAGGCCAAATGCCCTAATTGTTTACATTGAATGCATCATAGTTCAATTGTATGTTTTTTTGATTCAATGGAAGGTAGAAGAGAATTGGAGTTGGAATTTTTAAGTAATCCAACTAATTCATATGTAATTAATTTCATTTGATGGAAGATTTGGTTATGAAATTTTAATTGAGATGCCATAATTTTTATTTATAAATCCTCTTTCTACCTATTATCTTAAATAGAATAGGTCAAAGCAAATAAAAGAAGTAGAGGCCTAATATTTAAAGATTAAAGATAGGCTCTTAAGATTGTGGGAACTAATGATGGTTGTTCATGCATCTAGGAGCTTGATGCATATATATTTTTAGCATATATAGTTATAAAGTTAGGTATATTATAATTTTTTTTAGGCTACAACCTTTTCTATTTTTTGTTTATATGTTCTATTTTTTTGTTGCATTTTTTGCTCTTATAAGGTCTTTAAGACATGTACGGAGGATTTTTTTAATTTTTAGCAAATCCTTGAATAAAAAAATACTTCAAAGTATTGCTTTTAAAATAAGGTTCTTATGAATCTTGTGACCATTAATTCAAAACATTGAATATAGGACATAATATCTTCATTCTTTTCTTATTTGAAAGAGGCTAAACAAGTTAGGGCCATACTTTGCCCTACTTTAGGCTAAAAATGTTCTAGAAATATATGTTGGATTATATTCCAACTTAAGAAGGTATTGGAAGAGCGGTTGTAATACCACTCATATGCCTTTTCTTTTAATGTGGTTGAAAACCATACTAAATAGTAATAGCCCCATGTTATCAGACATATAGTAAATATTTCTATAAAATATTCTATATATGCTAAAGGATCCTCATCTCTTATATCCCTAAAGATGAAAAGATTATGAGATATAGGAACCACACTAAGTCCCTCTAAAATCCAAATAAATAAAATTACAAACCCTAAACTCTATACTTGGTCCCTCTTATACTCTCTTTCTTTCACACTCCTCTCTTGCACATACACTCTTTCTTTCTTTCTATCTCTCTCTCTCACACTCTTCACTTGCATTCTTTTTCTCTCACATTCCTCTCTTTCACACTCTTCTCTCGTACTCTCTCTCTCTCTCTCTCTTATACTCTTCTATTTCACACTCTTCTCTTGCATACTCTCTCTCTCTCTCTCTTTCTCTCTCTTGTATTTCTCTCTCTATTATTCAAATTCATCTCTTGTACATTCTCTATATCACACTCTCTTCTCTCACATTCTTTTCTCTCACACTCTTCTCTTCTACTCTTTTTTTCATATATTCTTTTCTCTATCACTCAAATTCTTCTCTTTTATACACTCTCACTCTCTCTCTCTTGCATGCTCTTTTTTTCTCTCATACTCTTTTCTTTCAAACTCTCTATTTCTCTCTCTTGCACTCTTTTTTCTTTTATTTATACTCATCTCTCTCTCATACACACACACTCCTCTTTTGTACACACACACACTCTCTCACACACATTCTTCTTTTTTATACACACTCTTTTTCTTACACACATTCCTTTCTTGCATGCTCTCACTTATACTTCTCTCTCACATACTCACACTCCTATCTTTCATACTTATCTCTCTCTCATACATACTCTTTTCTTGCATACTTTCACTCACACTCCTCTCTTGCATACTAACACTCCTCTCTCTCAAACACTCTCTCTCTTTCACACTCTTTGCTTGCATACACTCTTTTTCTCTCTCAAACTCTTCTCTTGTACTTTTTCTCTCTTACACTCTTTTCTCTCACTCACACTCCTCTCTAATACACTCGTACACACTCTCTTTTACACACTCTTCTCTTTTATACACTCTCTCTCATACACACTCTCTTTCATACACTCCTCTCTTTTACACTCTCTCTCTTATACGCATTATCTCTCATACACTCCTCTCTACAGCATATACACACTCTCTCTCTTTCACGCACTCATGCTCGCTCTCTCTCTCTCTCACTCCTCTCTCGCACTCTCTCTTTCACACTCTTCTCACTCACACCTCTCTCTCACTCACTCTTTCGCACACTCCTCTGGCACTCTCTCTCTCACACTCTTCTCACTCACTCACATTCCTCTTTCACACACTCCTCTGGCACTCTCTCTCTCTCTCACGCCTCTCTTGCACACACTCTCTAGCACTCTCACACTTCTCTCCCTCTCTCACACATTCTTATTCCTGCATGGGGATATGATTCTGCAATGCTCGCGTTTATTGGGTCGGGAGCAATCTTCTACTGCATGTTACCAAGTGCTGTGTTGGAAGGAAGCGGTGACGAATGTGTGCACTGTGATCGGTGCATTGGGGTTTGAGTGTTCTGATCTTTGACTGACCCTTGCTTCGGAGAATAACATATCATGATCGCAGTGTTTGTTTTCTGGTGTACGAAAGAGTGCCGATGTCGGTATGAGGACAACCGAGGGTTGATGGTAATATGCTCTCAAAGTTGGTATGTAGAGTAATATACTTCGTCGTATCTACAAATCGACTTTTTAACTATGTAAGTTATCAAGACTAATTGACCTTACAACAGGTTACATGGTTGAAGACTCTTGTTTATTATATGAAATGGGAGTTTTCACATAGGTACCCGCTACAATTGTTTCAAATCCCCATTTTTAAACCATATACTACAAAAAATTAATTGAGAACAGAACATATTCCCACCACACTCTATTACAATTGAAAACTCGTTTGTGAAGGGCAGAAGTCCAAGATTGGAAAAACTCTCGTCTTCAAACAATCATTGGAAAATTGACAAATTTGCTTAACAAACTAAATACATCATCGACAGTAATTCGACTTAAAACAAGTTGCATTATTTCAAGCTTACATTGTTCAATATTTGAAATGATACTTTTTCACATACGTATAAGTTCAAATTCCATCGATTATGATTTTAGAAAACACCACGAACCCCATCCGCACAGCCTCGGCTGGAGCATCCAACCGTGCGTTGCCACAGCAAACTATTGACTTCCCACGCTTCATGTGCCCGTGGATGCGCCTACCACGGCACACATCTACAGCTAAAAGTAGCAGGGACACAACCATTCAAGAGATTACGCACCTGAAATTGCTATATGCTAACAAAACCGTATACTCTCACAGCCCATCATCCAGCATAGGTACGCATACCCCCTTTCAACAACTCTCTCCTGCCCCGATGCCAGACCTCGCGACTCCACACCAAAGCCTCACGAGACACGACCTCACGGAGAACACAAACACCCCATGCACAACACCCAGTAATTATGGTAGAACTAGCTCTGCAAATTACATTCTCGCTAATGTTACAGAGCTCAGTGGCATCCTTTGCAATCTCCAGCCCATGCATGCTCTGCGCTCAGCACCATCTGCACTGCACATACCAATCACCCCTCACTCAGTACGCCCTGCGCACCACAACCAATGACACCGCCATATTCCCAAATCAACCACCAACTCCTCCACAATCCACCTCCCTCACCCCAAGCAACCCCGCTCCCAAGCTAAACGACCTACTTGCTTAACCAGCCCCACTCACGAAATCCAATGCTCTCACACTGCCGTCGCGCAACACGAAGCCAAAACTCAACCAGCAGGTCTCTCACTTCATGCACAGTACGCCTTCAGCAAACAACCAGACCCTTTCTCTCAAAGCAATGCCAATCAAACAGGACCAGCGGATTCGTCACAAGGCTCCCTTACCTAGGCTGGTCCAGGACCCGTAGGACATCCTGCTCAATCAGAAGTCTAGGAAGCCTCTTTTATACTGATCGAGGAAACTTGAGATGAAGCGGACGACGTGCAGGGGGGCCTCCAGAATACCAGGCGCCGCTGCTTCTCCAAACCCTCGCAACGGTGCCCTCACCATACAAACCCTACCTGGAAACCATCTCCCCTACCTTCCCTCCTCCTATTCTAATTTCTCCCCTCACTCGCTATGTGGCCGTAAGCTGCCAATATTAAACCGAAACTCGCGGGGTTCGTCACATTTTTTAGTCAGGAACAAAGCCCCGCCCTGCTCCAGGACCTCCGTTCACATTAAATCTAAACTAAAAGCTGCCAACCCATGGGAAAATAAAAGACACGCACTCCCGCTCCTCCATGTCAAGCGCCTCCACATCATTACTGAGCAAATCGCCTCGTCCATTCCGATGCTGTTTTGTCGTGCGCAGGTCTGTCATTCAGATACTGCTGGGCAATGCTACCCACTAGCGGATCATCTGCAACCCCATCCCTGCGTCCGTTACAACATTTCTTCAACAGATCACCACAACACATCACTCTCACCAGCAACTTTACACCACCCTGCATTCACTGCACTCTATCGCCCACCCTAGCAAGAATCTAGTACAGCAGACCTGGGTCACCATGCTCAGCTCTCATGGACACATCGTTCCAGTCACCGACGGACCAACATCCATCATGAGATTAGTGGAATGCCGTCTCAAAAGAAAAAGAAAAGAAAAAAAGAAAATCGTTTAAATTCAAATTAAAACTTTAAAAGTAATAAACAATAATAATCATAAACTGGCACCAACTACGCATCCGCCTGGTCATATCAGGTTCCACAAACACTCCCCCATCGACCCACCATCATGCGCACACCACACCGACACATCACATATGTGTCCCACAAATGGTGCACTCACGGCAAATACCACAGGACCACTCTGACCCTCCTCACCGCACCCGTCATTTGCATCTGTCTTACGTGGATTGGCATCCGTCAGCAACGAACAAATGGACAGCAGTACATTGGAAACTGTCAGAGCGGGGCTCCAATTCTCCTTCAGGATATCCAAGCAGATTTGCCCGTTGTTGTTGATATTGCAGTGGTAGATGCGCGTCCTGAACAGCACCTGCCAAACAGGTAGCTTCAGTTCAGCGGACTCACCTCACAACCAGATGCACGGCCCCATACACATCACAACCATCGAACGTTTTGCGATCCCAAACCATACAAAACCGCAATCTTGCTACTTCAATTTCCAAATTCATAGACTACCACTGCTCGCTTGCACCCAAACAATCCTAAATCCCTCTAACCCTAACATCTCAGTCCAACTCTCCATTGCCTCTACACGTCCCTAACTCGCCCACAGACCCCTGACATACAAGCGCGCAATAACGACTGCGCCTCCCCGCCCGACCAAACATCACTCACTCCTACACCCATCAAAACCAGCGAGCTTAACGCCCCCGGCCACCAAATACTGCCACTGCAAGACGCGCAGAGCCAACGTCAGAGGTGCGCAATTCATTCCACGCCCACCTTTGGTGGCTTGAAGGGGTAGTCGCTCGGGAAGTTGATGTCCAGAAAGAACACTCCCCCATGGTACGGCGAATCTGACACAGCCCAAACCAAAATTCACGTGTCAGCGCACTCTACGTCGCTCATGATCGAATCACAACAACAACACGCACGCACGCATAGCCACCGTAACAGGGGGACCAAGTCCCGCAGAAACTCAGCAGCGTGCAGGCAACCTACGTCGCTCATGATCGAATCACAATAACAACACGCACGCACGCACGCACGCATAGCCACCATAACAGGAGACCAAGTCCCGCAGCAACTCTGCAGCGTGCATGCAACCAAATCCCGTGCGCAAACAACGACGCAAACGTACCAGTCGGACCCATGATGGTAGACACCCATTCGTAGAGGTTGTCGCCCTTGGGACCAGCGGAGCAATTGGGCGGCGGATCCAAAGTGATGTCCGCCAACTCCTTCTGAATCCGCTTGGCGGAGGCTGTGAGCGACTTCATGGAGGAGTTGGGCGTTGTCATCCCCTGCCTTCCTGCCCGCCTGCCACCGGCTCTTTTCTCTCTCGCTCTCTCTCCCTCCCCCTCTCCACACCCAAACTGCCACCCACCCCGCACCGCTCTCGGCCCCGCTGCCTCCCTCCTTCCCTCCGCACCTTTTCCTTCCCTTGTGGCCCTCCTCTCGCTTCTTCTGCTGATGCCGCTGCTGCTGCTTCTCCTGCAGAATCTGGCCCTGCCAAGGAGGTGAATGTAGACGAGGATTCAATTGGAGTGCGTTTGGGAGTGATTAGGTGAGAGGCTCCGTTGACAGCGCTAGAGAGAACGCATGTGTGGTAGTGGACATGTCGGTGCCGCCTTGAGATTTATGTTCCCATTTCGGTATCCGTGGAGGGCGGAAATTTTGGCTCTGTTGCCGGCCATGCGCCAGTTGCGTCCCTGTTGATTACACTGCCGCGATTGCGTGACAGTGCGTACTCAGTGTATTGTACTGGTGTGCCACCACAGCGTGTGTTTATTGTCGCGAAGAAGTTTAGGGCTTGTTGAGAATTGGCGCAGGTTACAGTTGATTGGGTGCGTATATGTGAATTTTTAGTAAACAAAAATTTTGAATTATACGTTTACTGTTTGAAGATGTAGCGTGTCCAATGTGCAGGTTGCGTTATTTATATTCAAGAAGTATAGATTCTTAGTCGCTACATATTGTTTCGTTCAATTCCTGCTTAGGGCAAGGGCTGTGAAATTATTTCGAGCCTATACAGGCAGTGTAAATTTGGCTGAAGTATGCTTTGAAGGTTCTCAAGGATGATTAGTTTTAACGTTCTGGTAGTTTAGTGTGAATTAATGTTGAATTTCCACGAACATCAAAAATGTTGCGTTCATCCATTCGAGACATACTGTACTATGCGATAAAGACACATTTCACAATTTTACAAAGTACAATCTATACGAAGTGATAAAGCTGGAAAAAATTCCAGGGAAGACGAGGTCAAAGCGACCCCACATTACACAAGGACCTTTTTTGTTGGTAACGAAGGAAGTCATGATTGAAAGAAAACTCCCACTCTGCTCTGAGGAAAGGCTTCAAATATAAACTGCTCTTGCATTTCTTGCCAGAAAGTGATGTAAATACAGGCTCACTAGGCCCGCTGTCCTTTGGACCCTCCAGCCTTACCTGGGGCCCATTTGATGCTGCATCCAATACTGCATAAAAATATAAGAATGAAGTAAGAGAATGAATGAACAATTTCTTTGCCCACGCTAAAATCAGTTCAACCTCGTAAACCTAAAGTTCGAGTAATAAGGCCAAGAGAGGCCTACGACCCAAGCGTCTGTCCTTTTACTTTACCTTGGCCTTTGCGGAATAGTGACAGGGCTTCCTGTTAGAACACAATCAATTGCCTCGCGGATGTCCCTGAACACATTTGACGCCGAAAAATATGAGTGAAGTACGAGACATTCTATGATGAAGTCTCGTAGCGCTTTAATATTTACTTCGGCAGAACCTTCTTTGTTGACCAGGAAACTCACCTGCCCGTGACGGGAACGTTACTGCGAGGTCGAGACTCGTCAAATCTACCATGATATACTAGTTCAAAGGGCTTTTGACCTTCCTGTGCATATGTGACCACCGTCATTCATACAATCGGTGTTCAGACAAAACCTTCGACATGATTAACTAGAAAGGTAAAATAACTGAGATGTACACACCGTGATACATCTACAAGATGAAGAGTGAATACGTCCCCTTCAGACAATGAGCACCGAGACACCATTCGTGTTCTCAACACAGTGCCACATCAAGCAGTTTTATGTTAATGTACTACCCAGTAATGTACAAGACAACCATATGCTTAAATCTTACAAACCTTCGCGGTCCCATCCATGTTTGATTTTACCCGAAAATTTAGCTGTTTCATTAATAAATTCATTGTATCCCGATAATGCTTTCCAAAACATCGTTATCCCATAAATGAGCGGAACTGTCAATAGATATACCTTCCTGTACAGATAAAAATCGGGGGTACAGACAGCTCCGTATGCCTTTGCAACTTCCTGCGTCTGCAACTCAAAATCGTGGCATGTCATGGTGGTAATGAACCTACCAGATTAGATCCAAAGATGATACGAGATCGCCCCAGAATACCACAGCGAATGCAGAGATATAAATTGATGACCATAGCAATGCAACTACAACGGAGCATACCTCATCATATAAATATGGAAACGGATATCCAAAAGCTCTTGCCTCTTCGGCCATGAATGCAGGGCCATCCTGTGTTGCCAGAATTGTATCAGACACATGGTACTGCTATTACCAGCGAACAGTCGCATAGAAGCTGAAAAGCCAATAAAATAAATAAAGGTAAAAATCCGAAAAAACGCAGTCTTGAAAAATATACCGTAGGTATAAGCCCTTATACAGAAAGCATGTGAGGCACTACCTCTGGATGAGAAGTAACCGAGTTCGAGGATATAGCTACTACTGCAAGTCCTTTCTGCGGAAGAATAAAGGTATCAGGAATACAACAACCAATTCATGACAAGTTAAGAACAAGATGATGATGAGGCATCCACACTAAGTGGATCATGACAAGGGGAAAGAGAAGCATACTATGAGAAGCATACTATGAGAAGCATACTATTGTCTACCAGTCGATTCCATTTGAGTAATATGACAACAATGTCGGAAGAAATATTTTACCGGAATGTAGTTCCCTGCAAGCTTCGCAATATCCTCCTTGAGATGGATCACGTATGGGCAATGATTACAGATGAACATGACCTGAATGAAGCAAACGTCCATAAGGCCAACAAGTCACTGGTGGAAATTTAAATTCTCAGTATCAACATGTATAGAGCTGTTCCAAAGCGAAATTCACAGCTATGCAGAGCAAAATAAATCGAGAGAGGTGACTATCGCGAAGGGTCTCAGCAGATATCCTCTGGTCATAAAGCAGGCATCCAAAAACGACGTCTAAATCTTAGAATGAAAGAGAGTTTCGTATTACCAATAAGGCAGGGTATGTCTCAAAGTCTTTCAATTGCCATGTTTTGCCGGTGAGGGGCTCCACTAGCTGTAGCAGCACGAGTAAATCAATAATCAACGACAACCAGTTCCAATAAAATCGTGCAATCCAGTTCAAAAAATACAGTCGCATGTGTAAAGTACGAGGGACACTCGGTGCAGTCGCAAAAGCCACAAACAACCGTGATGCACTTCAAACAGTAGTTCCACCCCACTTCTTATGTCGCGAACTGAACTCGCCGGAGACATGAAGTCTGGGAATTAAATTCTGACTTGAAATCCAGCAAGCTTGCACTCAATTCAGAGGTTAGAATCCCGATTAGGATCAAAACTCTTCTGACTACGACACAAAATCATATCATATATCCCGCAAATACCCGGCCTTCGCACTACAGGGCCGGGCCGTATGAGACCTGATGTGTCCAATGCAGACCATTGTGACTACGCGGAACCAATGAAGAGTTTTGCGACAATGTTTGAATTTTCTACGTCGAAAGCTCCATAAAAAAAGGACTTGGATGTTATTATTAAACTCACACTTCGAACTATCAATCCTTGAAACAAAGATTGACAAATTTCATCTCAATTCATAATGTTGCAATGCATGATACTTCGTTGAAATGCATTGCACAGTCGAGGTGATTGGGCAAGAAATCCCACCAAGTATAAAATAAGCAGTGATAACAATGACAAACCTCAAAATTGACGTGGACAGAGAGTGTGGCAAACGACAATCTTGTAATTGCAGCAATGAAGACACACAAAATCTCCCACTATTGCCATCGCCTCCAACAAGAAGCCCATTTTTTCGACAAAAGCAGCATCACCAAAAAAAAAAAAAAAAAAAAAAAAAAAGACAAAACAAAACAAAAAACAAAACCAAAACCACCCAATCACCGACAAGAAAGACAAAAGTAAAGAAAGACCTGGAAATCAGGAGCAACTGTGATGACATCCTTAGAAAACTCCGCCATGACCACAGCTGCTTGCAACCCCAACAAGCTTCCCCCTCGATGACAGCAACTGGAAATTGGAAAAGGAGAACTGAGAAGCACAGAAAACAACTTGGAAAACGATCTGAAAGCGATGGTAGGGCTTGATGAAGGAGCAGCAACAACAACCACAGGGAGGGAGGGGTGAGTGAGGGAGAAGCGGAATTAGCAAAGTGGAAGCAAGCAGAGCGAGCAAAGCGAGAGAGAGGGAGAGCCTGGAACAGGAAACACGTTGTTGTTGAATGTGGAGTGAGAACTGGATTTTTCCCCCCTCCCCCCCCCCCCCTCAAGATCCTGGAAGAAAGGTGGTGGTGGCTGGATGGATGGATGGGTGGATGAATGCTTGGTTGGCGGTGCCCTGATAAGACACGTGGCACAGTTGGGCACGCGCACATGTTCCACCCATCATCGCAATGTTCCATTCTTCTACTTCATTTTATTATTATTTCCCCCTTTTTTTCTTACGTTTCTGGGATGGATGCGAAGAATTCTACCTCCACGATGAGTACGAGGAGGATGCTACCTCTCTACCTCTCTCTCTACCTCTACCTCTGTTGCTGGTTGCATTGTCCTTCTTGGTTACACAGACAGACAGACAGACAACTTGTCTTATGATTGACTCACACTTTGTTTACATTGTATCCACCAATTTTTGATTTACTGCCATTTAACAGTCTTGTTGAGTGTACCCTGTTCTCTTCTAGTAGTAACTTTCAATTTTCCAATACTTTCTATGGAAGCATGGTATTTTTTATTTTGTTTGTTCATGCAAACTTGTATAATAAGTACCTAATTCACACTTTGATGTTTTTACTTCATCCATCTACTATACATAAAGTACAAATATAGATATCACATAGTTGCTTCACATTTTGTAAACAACTCATTGATGGACAATCAATTGTTGGATGTTTTTGAAATATTGGTTTGCAATTTAGAATCTATATATATATATATATATATATATATATTTACACACACATACATACAAAATCATTTAAGAACAATTAGAAAAAGCTAAAACTTTAGGATTTATTAAAATTTTACAATGCAAAAAATCATTATAATATTTTGTTCATCCAATACGTGGTACCAATTGGGTATTTATTCTACTATGACTATTTTAGACATACATATTTATTCCAATAATTACCTAAATAATATGAATAGGTGTCAAGGACAAGAACTCGATGAAAAAACAATTCAGACAAGTGAGCCTTCACTCAAAGAGAGGTAACAAAATATATATAAACAAGGATATATATTGAAAGTGAAACTCGAATGGCTATTGCCAAAAGACAAGAAAATTAGAGACTCTTGAAACTAGATTTGAAGCAAGAAAGGAGTTGACAAGAGTGAAGAAGCCTTCACTCTTGTCTCTATATATACTATCTAACTAGGGGCTACATGGCGACGTTCTATAGGACCTCCAATATGTGTTGACTTTGTAGGACACATGCCTTGACTTATAAGGCAAGTTTTTCTACGTGTGGGCCACATAGTTAGCTTGATCTTCAAGCTAACAACATGTGTGGCACATGGCCAACTTGTTGACCATGTTTCTAATCCAAAAAGTCAATTAAAGACACCTATGAAGCTTCTAAGAAGCTTCTAGGAAGCTTCCATATGTGGCAGCGTCTATGAAGCTTCTAGGAAGCTTTCATATTAAATACTATAGAATTAACTTATTTTTACCTACTTTTACTTACTTCCACCTATTTGTATATGTAATTACTAGCTTACATGATTATGTCCGTGACATAACCCCTCCTTCTAAGGACGAGTTCCACGAAGAGTGGTCATCATATGTTGAGGAAATCTATGATGCGACCAATTGTATTCGCCACATACTCTGATCTCTGTTCTCTTCGAAGATGATTGATAGGGCCTCTCAACCATCGGTAGTGTCTCATATAAGGACAGGAAGACCACCCAATTATTTGACCATTGTTGAGGCCTTCGTAACTTCCTTCAAATAGAATATTTGGAACACCATCAGGAGTTGTTCTTACTTCTAGCACAATCACCAAACATCGGGAGTCCCTTCCCAAATCGTGATACCAAACGCGTTGTATCTTGCCATCTATTTGAGGAAGAATATGTCATTCTTGAAGATCTTCATCTCGATTGCGTCGTCTTGAAGGTTGTGACAATCGTAATGTCTCGTCCGACAGGTCAGCAAATGAAGGCTCTTGAGTTGAATCTGCTGGTTGTTGGTTTTCCATCTCCTGAGCGTCACTACTACAAAGAAGCTACGAACAAGAATTGAAAGTAGAATGTTATCTTGCCTAGATGTTGTTTCTTTTATAAAGAAGGTTTACATCTTGATTTTGATGGATGTCGTCGATAAAAAGCCTCTACTGCCTTTGCTATATTTGTAAGATTTTTTATTGGCTCCCATGTGCGTTTACTAATACCATATCCACGCCAATGGATAAGATATTCTAATTTATTTTGGCGCCCCCTTGAATCTAAGACTTCTTCTACTTCAAACTCTTCATTATTGTCCACTTCTATAGGAGGAGGTGGAGCTTGTCGTCTTCTTGGTATGTCCACTGTCTTGTATGATTCAAGAAGAGATACGTGAAATATTGGATGGATTTTCATTGACTCTGGTAGATGTAAACGATATGCAACTGGATTGATTTGTGCAGAAATAGAAAATGGTCCCAGCCTTCGATAGTCCAACTTGTCACAAGGACGAGTGGTCTTGATATTGTGACGAAGTAGCCATACCTTATCACCCAAGATGAATGATGGTTGTTCCTTTCGATAGACATCCACATTGACCTTTTGTTGTTCTTGAGCCTCTTTTAACTGCGCCTTCATCGTTGCATGTAGCTCTGATAAATGAATTGCCAAATCTTTCGCAGCAGGATTATCAACTTTTGAAAAGTCAAAAGTATCAAGTCGTGGATAATAACCATAATTATCAAAGAAAGGTGTTTGTTTTGTAGAAGAATGTATCGTGTTATTGTAAGCAAACTCTGCGAATGGCAAAAGAGTTGTCCAATCATCTTGTTGGTAATTAATAGTACATCTTAAATATTGCTCCAAAACTTGATTAACACGCTCCGTTTGTCCATCACTTTGAGGATGGAATGCCGAAGATAGTTTTATATCCACTTTAAGAATCTTGAAAAGAGTCCGCCAAAATCTTGATACAAATTGAGTTCCCTTATCTGATATAATATCCTTGGGTAATCCATAATAGCGATAGATATTGTCAAGAAAGAGCTTAGTTGTTTCTTCACCTGTGATAGATTTTGTACATGGTACAAAATATGCCATTTTGGTAAAATGATCTACTATCACAAATATAGAGTCATAAAAACTTGAGATTGGAAGATCCGTAATGAAGTCCATAGAAACAGAAGACCATGGTTGTTATGAAATGGGTAATGGCTGAAGAAGTCCAAAAGGTCGATGACGAGGAGTTTTTGATCTTGAGAAAATATCACATGATTGTACAAAATCTTTAACTGCCTTCCACATTTGAATCCACCAAAAATCCCTAGATATCAGCTCCAAAGTCTTATTATATCCAAAATGTCCTGCTGTTGGGAAGTCGTGATGAGCTTGAAGAATACGTAAACGTGCTTCTCCTTCCGGAACATATAGGCATCCTTCGACATAGAGTAGGTTGTTCTTGAATTCAAATTTAGAGGGATCATGAGATTTAGAAGAATTATTCTTGATATCATGAACAAGAGGATCTGAAGACATACTTAACTGGACTTGCTTAAGAAAAGTTAAATCAACAGTCAATGTTGATTTTATTGCTCGAAGATGAAATTCTTGTGCCTTCAAGAGAACCGTTCTTTGTTGCTCAAAAGCTACATCTCCTTCTTTTGGTATAAGATAAGAACGTCTAGACAAGGCATCGGACAAACCTTGTTGTTTTTCTGGTCGATAAGTGATGATGAACTCGAATCTTGATAAAGTCATGCTCCCACAAGCTTGGCGATGATTTAATAAGCGTATTGACATAAAATATTCGAGGTTCTTGTGATCCGTATACACGGTGACCGGACTAGAAGCGCCTTCTAGATAATGATGCCATTCTTGAAAAGAATCCACAATTGCAAGAAGTTCTTTATCGTGGATCTCATAATTGATTTCTGCTGCTGAGAATTTTCTTGAATCAAAGGCTATTAGATGAAGTTTGTCATCTGTTCCCATTTGTGATAAAACCACACCCCGAGCAAAGTCCGATGCATCTGTTTCCATAAAGAATGCTTTAGAAAAATCAACACGATACAAGATTGGTGAAGAAACAAACGCTGTCTTCAAAGATTCAAAAGCAACTTCCGCTTCTTGATTCCATTGGAGTTTGTCTTTACAAGTCAAACATGTAAGTGGAGCTGCAGCTCGAGAGAAGTCTTTGATGAAGATCCGATAGTAGTTGGCAAATTCCAAAAAATATTGGACATCTCTTACCGTTTTTGGGATCTTCCAGTCTATAATAGTTTGAACTTTCTTAGGATCCATCATAAGTCCATCGTTTGAAATGATATAACCTAAAAAATTGACTTGAGCAGTGTGAAATACACACCTTTCTATCTTGGCATAGAGTCCTACATCTCTTAATTTTTGTAACACATGACAAACATGAAGTTCATATTCTTCTGGATTCTTAGAATAGATCAAGATGTCGTCTAGATAACAGACCACAAAATCGTCCAAAAACTCTCAAAAAACATCATTCATTAGATGTTGAAAAGCTGCTGGTGCATTTGTAAGTCCAAAAGGCATGATGTTGTATTCAAAATGTCCATACCTAGTTCAAAACGCAGTCTTCCATTCATCTCCTTCTTTCATGCGTACTAGATTATATGCTCCCCGAAGATCTATTTTTTTATAGATCTTAGCTTGATTCAGCTGATCAAGAAGTGCAGATATTAAAGGTAGTGGATACTTGTTCTTGATGGTAATCTTGTTGAGTCCTCGATAATCAACACACATCCGCAATGATCCATCTTTTTTCTTCACAAATAGAATTAGAGCTCCTGCTGGAGATTTAGAATGGCATATGAAATTCTTGGCTAGATTTTCTTCAATATACTCCTTGAGTTCAGCCAACTCATTTTGTGATAAACTGTAGATTGGTCCGAATGGCGGTTGTCCTCTTTGTTGAAGGTCAATTGAGCAATCATAGGGACGATGTTCTGGGAGTGTATCTGCATTCTTTTTTTCAAATACATCTTGAAATTCTTGATATTGACTTGGAATGCCACTTGAAGTCTTTTCAAAAGACTTTAGAAA